GGTAGCCAGGCAGCAAAGTGGTCAAGGAAGAAGAGAGAGGAGCTGGGGGGCAGGGGCGATAAATAATGGCTATTTTAGCAGAGAAGTGTTTGTAAAGGCGAATCAAATGTATGTCGAATGATGGGAAAGAGAGGGAAGGGGGGGTTGGTAGAGGAGTGAGGTGAGAGGAGAAACCCCACACCACCATCTTTACATTCAGAGTGTCTTGGGTTGTGGGTCAGTTGAAGACCACCAAAGGACAAAGATGCAGAGGTAGCAGTGTCAGAGTGGGAGAGCCATGTTTCTGTTAATCCTAGTAAATCTAGGGAATGAGAGATAAAAGGTTACTGTTTGAATATCTGCAATTGAAAGTGCAATGTATATGAAATAATTCCTCCAATTGCAGATTTTAAGGACATTGGAAGCTAACAATAAAAGAAGTGCTAAAAATCTCTTTGGAGGTGACCACATTAAAGCATAAATTGAAGAGAGTCTGAGGAAGCAGTTTGCACAGTAAGTATTGCAGTTAGCATATTAATTTCCCACGTTAAAATTATTGTAGAAGCCACCAAAAAAGTGATGATGGGGGTTGATATAAATAGCATCAGGTCCACAACTCTGTAAAATGAGTGCTCTATGCAGTCCTCCAATCCTCGGAGCTGTAAGACGGAAGGGTAATTAGATATATAGTATGATAAGGTATGAAGTTTATTAAAGATTATATTTCATTATTGGGAGTCTACAAAACCTCAATTTTTTAGATTACTTTATTTAGACTGCATGTTGTTTTTCAGTATCGCAATGGGAGTAGTAGTTTATAGCTCTCTGCTTCAGCACTGAAATGTTTAGCTTTATGTTAGCTAGGGGTTTTAGGGTCTAGAGATCCCAGAAAGTGGTTTTCTTTTCTCCTGTTCCTGCGTTTAGTTTTATGGAAGTAAAACGTAATGTAGATCTTATAAACACTAATGGGTACTGTGGATAGAAGCAATCGTTGGATAGGATTTGTTTTTCTTTTCCCACAGGGAATAAGTCTTATAGAATATCTTGTGTGCAAATGTGAAACCTGACACTGTATAAAATGATTAAAATGATATTCATTTAATTTAATGTAATGCCTGGGGGCTTCCAAGGAAAGGTGAAATAAAACAAAAGCCATTGACATGTTTACAAAAGACTCTAAATCTTAACTAGAACTCGTGTTCTGTTTAATCCAATCATTTTCCTAAACACGGTAAGGGCTAATAATGTGTATACACCAGTGGCGGAACTACAATGGTCGCAACCGTGACCGGGCCCGTAACTCCAGGGGGCCGGCCACCCTGCTGACCCCTGCAACTGTGGCCCGCCGAGAGAAAAACTGTGACGGGGACCCCCCCTAATGCACCCCTGAATCACCGCATGGACAGTGAGACAGAGTAAGCACCTGCTTACCTGGATGGGAGGACAGGAGGAAAGCAGCATTCGGCAGGGGAGCACTGGTCTGACAGTTCCTTTCTCCTCCCTCGCGCGCCCCCTTTCCGGGTAGTACCCGGAATATGATGTAATTCTGGCCCCGGCATACTAAACAGCGAGCAGGAGGAGAAATAAACTGTCACAGCACAGCCCAATGGAGAGGACCCAGACCAGCTCTCTGGTAGGTAGGGAGGCTGGAAGGGCCTCAGAAAAGTAAAATTAAGTTGTGAGAGTGTGCAAGAATGTGTGAGTGTGTGTGTCTCTGTGTGTGCGTGTGTCTGTCTGCGTATGTGTGGCTGTTAGTGTGTCTCTATGTGTGTCTGTCAGTCTGTGTCTGTCAGTTTGTGTGTGTGTGTCTGTCTGTCAGTCTGTGTGTGTCTGTCAGTATGTGTGTGTTTGTCAGTGAGTATGTGTCTTTCAGTAAGTTTGGTGTCTGTCAATGTGTGTGTGTGTGTGTGTCTGTCAGCGTATGTGTGGATATTAGTGTGTGTCTGTCAGAGTGTGTGTCTGTATCTGTCAGTTTGTGTGTGTGTGTCAGTCTGTTAGTGTGTGTCTGTGTCTGTCAGTGAGTGTGTGTCTATCAGTGAGTGTGTATCTGTCAGTGTGTGTCTGTCAGTGTGTGTGTCTGTCACACACGTGGGTGTGTGTGTGTGTGTGTGTCTGTCTGTTAGTGCGTGTCTGTCAGTGAGTGTGTGTGTGTGTCTGTCTGTTAGTGTGTGTCTGTGTCTGTCAGTGAGTGTGTGTCTATCAGTGAGTGTGTATCTGTCAGTGTGTGTGTCTGTCAGTGTGTGTGTCTGTCACACACGTGGGTGGGAGAGACACATGGAGGGACTGGGAGCTGAAGGGTTGGAGAGACACATGGAGGGGATGGGGGGGAATGAGACATGTGGAAGGGCTAGGGGGGGAATGAGACATGTGGAGAGACAGACAGGGGGATGAGACACATGGAGGGGCTGGCGGAGGGGAGAATGAGACACATGGAGTGGCGGGGGGATGAGACACATGGGGGGCCCTAGGGCAATTTTCGCACCAGTGCCTGGTAGTTTCTAGTTACGCCTCTGGTAGACACCAATGTTAAAGGTATGCCTTCATACCCCAATATCAGGCATGCACAATTGTTTCTCCTAGAAACAATATTTGTTTACAAAACATGTTATACATGAACAGTTCAATCGCAAGCTTTAGCTGGAATAATGCCATCGTAAACAAAAGTTTAATCAGTAGATCAGCAAGCAAGATCTCCAGCTGCTACATTAGTGCAAGCAGAGCAGGACTGATCATATGGTTACCTTAGACAGTCACCTAGGGCCCAGAGGTTGGACAGGAGTGCAGGACCCATGAAGTTGTTGGCTCCATGCACTGTCCCTGCGTTAAGCATGGACCACAAACTGGTAACCTGCTTAGAGCCCTGCAATTCTTCTCTATATGCAATAGACACATAAAGACAGGTAAGTTAATGTTTGTCTCCCGGTGCCCAATGTACTCCTACAGTTCCTAGAGATCATGTTTACAGAGTCACAGCTGCCCCTGTTGTTGGAGTTGCAACATCAGTCATCATAATATAATGGAGTCATCATAATATATAATGTAGTTATATATGTGAATAGAATATCCAATTTGTGCCAGTTATCTGCACTTCTCTTCTGCTAACTGGTATTCTGTGATCGTCATATGCTGTGTTTTCAGTTACTCTGTATATAATCCCTCTTTATTTTTTTTTCTAGTAAAGTTTAATCCCCATGAACTGATTGTTAGATTTCTTTACATTATTATAGTAAGCATAATAAATTTGTATGTTACATGGTTGTCTAAGTTGAAAAAAAGACTAACGTTTATCAAATCCAACCATGAAGCCTATTCTTTTATGCATTTGATCCAAAAGAGAGAAAAACAAAAAGAATCATAGCCTGTGCAATTATGCCACAAAAATTAGACAAATCATTCTTGACTCAATAATTGCAATAAGATTTCTCCTTGGATCAACAACATGTTTACATATACATACATATAACTTATATCCTTGAATATTCTGTTTATTTAAAAAAGCACCCAAGTCTAAATTTATCCATAGAATCGGAAAACACAATGTCTTTAGGCAGAGAATCCACATTGTTATTATAAATAGATTAAAGAAAAGTGAGCCCAGGACAGAACCCTAAGGCATCCTGCTCATAGGCATGCGCACCGGGTGTGCCGGGTGTGCCTGGGCACAACCTAATCCCGCGGCATGCTTATGGATTGAGACCGTCAGGGGAGATTTCAGGATCTGCTCTAAGCCTCCATGGGCCAGTGGGGAAATCAAATATCTACCTCACTGGCCAACAGCAGCACTAAGGGAGGCAGGAGAGGACCCGGGGAGCTCTAGCCAGCAGCTCCACCGGGTTCCTCTCGCGAGATCTGAGCATAGTCCCGCAGGCTAGAATTCACTCTCCACTGGACCACCAGGGATGGCACATGGCAGCAAGGATCCCCCTCCCTACATAAGGTAAGAAGGGAGGGGGGATATTTACTAATCTACCACCACCTCCACCCCACAAGCCCTCCAAACATACAGCACACACACACATACAGCACCCTAACACACAGCACACAAACAGCACCCACACACAAACAGCACCCACACACATACAACACACAAACAGCACCCACACACAAACAGCATCCACACACACAGCACACAAACAGCACCCACACACACACAGCACCGACACACATGCAACACACAAACAGCACCCACACACACACAGCACCCACACTCATACAGCACACAAACAGCACCCACACACACACAGCGCCCACACACACAGCACCCACACACATACAGCACACAAACAGCACCCTCACACACACAGCACACAAACAGCACCCACAGCACCCACACACATACAGCACACAAACAGCACCCACACATACACCACACCCAAACACATATAGCACACAAACAGCACCCACACACACACACAGCACCTATACACATACAGCACCCTCACACACACAGCACACATACAACACCCTCACACACACAGCACCCTTACACACAAAGTACATAACAGCACCCTCACAAACACACACACAGCACCCTTACAAACACACATCACCCTCACACACAACACCCTCACACACAGCACACTAACAGCACCCTCACAAACACACACACACACACACACACAGCACACAAACAGCACCCTCACACACAGCACACTAACAGCACCCTCACAAACACACGACACCCACACACAGCACACAAACAGCACCCTCATACACACAGCACCCTCACACACACACACAGCACCCTCACACACACACATCACACAAACAGTACCCTCACACACACAGCACCCTCACACAGCAAACTAAAAGGACCCTAACAAACACACACACACAGAACACTACCAGCACCCTCACGCACAGCACACAAACAGCAACCTCACACACAAACAGCATCCTCACAAACAGCACACTAACAGCACCCTCACAAACACACACATCACACTAACAGAACCCTCACACACACAGCACCCTCACACCACCCTCACACAGCACACTAACAGCACACACACACACACACACACACACATACACAGCAGTGTATGTATGTATGTGTGTATATATATGTATGTATATATATATATATATATATATATATATATGTATACACATACATACATATACACACGGCGTGTGTTTGTGCTTTAAGGTGTACACCCTAATGCAATAGGCTGCGTACACCTATGATTCTGCTTACCACTTTTGTCCAATTTGAAAATGTTCCATTTACAACTATTCACTGCACTCTATCTTTAAAGAGATTCTGTAGTTGAATTTCTTCCTCTATAGGGACCCTGTTCCCCCTTCCCTGCCCCATTCTGCAAGGGAGCTAATGCGTAAGTGCCGCAAGTGCATTTGACCCTACCCATACGAAAACATTGTTTCAAAGCTTTCCTATGGGGATATAACTGACGCTAAACATCCTCATGCAGAGCATTAAGATGTCCAGCATCAGTTAGGTGACCAAAAGTCTGGTTAACTTCTGGAAGCTCATTTGGTGGATATCTGATAGACAGCCACTGGAGACTGTCTTAGTGCTACAATGTGATAATTGCAGTTTCTCTCTTACATTGCAGGACTAAAGGGGACAGGGGCACTGATCCCAGCCATTTCAATGAGAAGAACTCAAGAACATAGTTTTTCATCTAAGCCAATTGATTGCAGTTTTACTAGTAACCTTTTGTTTGGAATTGTATCAAATACACATGCAAGTCCAAGTAGATCACATCTAATGGAACACCCTGATTTATATTTCTACTAACATTTTAATAGAATTTATTTGTTAGTTTGGCATGACCTGTCTTTCATAAAACAATGTTGATTCCTACTACTGATAATTTTGTTCATATTGAATTCTTGAATATTATCCTTTAACAGCTCTGCAAATAAGTTTCCAATCACCAATGTTAAACTTGTGGATCTTTAGTTTCCGGGATGAGCTTTTAAACCCTTTTTTGTGATATGAATGTTTCTTCACTAAGCTCCCAGAGCACACGTAGGTGAATACCATGTGGCTCTAATGCTTTGTTTAACTTGTTACTTTATTTAATTTCTGAAGCACTTTATCCTGTGTTAACCAACCACTTGTTTGCTGTAAGGCTTTTCTAACAAGGATTTGCAAGTCTATGTGTTTACCTCCCCCTGTGTCTGCGTGTTTGTAGCTGTGTGTATGTGTTTCTCCTAACAAACAAGAAATAGAGCTATAGAAAATACATATTAAAATTGGAATTGGTACATACACAAAATTGCAGTGATAGAGACTCAATATTGTAGCTACCCATACCCCATCATTCTAGGTTTCCCTTTCTCCTCAATGTTTCCTATACATTTTAATCTGTGTTTCAAATTTAACATGTTAGCATTTACTTTGCCCCTTAGTAGTATTTACATCTGGATTATTTTAGATGCAGCAAGTCTGTCAAAGCATTGTTTGAAATCTACCATATGCATTATAATCCAGGCCTTGAGCTATCATTGAAGCCTAAACTCATCCTTTATATTTATGCCACTTTATTGACTGCCTCACTGTTTGAACTTGGATTCCAGGAAGCTCCCAGTACCACCCTATAGTAATGACTAATATTACAGACTTGATGGGCTGCTACAGCCATTGAGTACTAGAGGCAGCCACGAGAGGCGTTTAACTTTGAACCACTGGGCCCCAGGGCAAGAATAAAGGAAAAGCCCACCTTTCTGCTGGCAAGTTGGTATAATGCCTGGTGTCCCCATTGTGCTGCTGGACACATCCCTGATGGTTCAGTGGGTGGGCATGTGGTCTGAACTTCCATCAAATGCAGACCACATTAAATAGTGTTCTGTTCCAGGGCTGAATAAGTCAGTGACCTGTCATCAGTGATTTGACTCAATTACAGAGTACACCCTACGGAAATGTAATTGCTATGTGGTATATTGCCAAATTGGCACTATACTTTAATAACAGTATTGCAAGAGGGACCTCCACCTGTCCTGGGTGCCCATCCTTTTTACAGGTGGAACCTTAGAGCTTTGTCATAATAGTGACCTTTACGACCCTGGTTGTTCCACCACTGACCAGAGATCTGGTGCTAGCATGTCTCTAACATAGCTTTGCTGGTCACAAAGCCTTTTAACAACTGATGTCCTGGGTACCTTGTAGGTTCTGCTATCACTAAGGGGTTAAAAGTACATTGTTCAGGTTTTAGTGGGAGTGGATAAAGGTGAACCTACCTCGTTTGATCATTGCCAGTCCCCTTTTATGTCTCACTCAATGTATTTGTCTATAGCAATAGCTGAAAAAAATATGAACCAGGACCATTTTGTTTACTTATTTCTAATAACTATACTTTTCTGAAACCTTATTTACTGCTTCATTTGTTTATCATTTTGTGTAAAAGGCTAATTGAGCAAAAACACACGGGACCAGAAATACCCATCTATCTATTTTGAACATTTGAAGAGCCAGAACAGCAGAGAGTCTAATCATTTACAAGAAAATCATGGACATAAAGGTGTTTTATGAAATATTCCTCTTCCCAAAAGTAACAAAATAATACTTTGTATTATAAATGTAAGTGCCCAGTTCATTAATCTTATTCTCCCACATGGAGGTCACTCACAGTTTTCAATCTAATTACTGAGTGGATCAGGGAATATGAGTAATACATTGGTGGGAGTAACTAGGTACTAATTAAGTCCTCAGACATTAAACGTGAGCCATAATTCAAGCACATCTGCTTCTCAAATATTATATCACAGCAGACACCCTCCATTAATTTTGAGAATGTCATTGATAGTTTACATTTTGGATATAAGTGCTAAGCTGGAAGATCAGTCAGTTGGGTCTAACATCAAACTACTGTTCCAAGTATCTTATTATTAACCATTGAAATCACCCTATCGCAATATGTACAATATGCTTCTCTACATATTTTATAGCAGCCACGTTTAGAATTGTTAGAATATGGATTTAGACAATTAATTCCCAGTTGTCAGATAATATATGATAAATGATTACATGAAAAAAATAGCAAAATTTCTCAAAGCACCAGCTATATAGTTGCTTCCTTTAATGAAATATGTCCCAAATATCTTTGCAACACTTTCGCTATTTACTCATTATGTTTACAACTTCACATTGCATACCAATCTAATTTTAATATTTTATGTTCACTTTTCATTTCTTAGTCTCTTCTCCCTAGCCTTGCACATATAAACTACGTTTGCAATATGGTTACCTTGTGTGACTTATTACTCATTTACTGTTAAAACAATCTGAGGCTGCACTGTGTTGCAGTATAACATATTAATTTTCTTAATATACTTTGTATCCAACAAGTGTTTTTTTTATATAAATATGTTTTCTGGAAAACAGAATTATGCTACAATGGGTTACCATTGCTCTCTATATCAGTTACAATAACTTGAAATATATTAAAAACCATAAGCACTACAGCTAATTTTTTATAGCTTCAAATTTTGTTTCAAAAATGTTATCAAACAACTTTAAGTGCAGGTCTACAGTTTGTTTTCCAGTATTTATAAAACAGGGAATGTACAAGAGAACTGCAAAAGATGAAAAAAAAAAAGATAAATATAAAGGTTTTCAATTTTTTGAATTATAATAAAAGGAAAGACATTGATGCAATGAAAAAATATAAATTAATGATAACATTGTGATGTTATAAAGTAGCATAATCACAATGTATATGGAGAACTATACAAAAGACTGTAATACACAATTAAATTATGGAGTAGGAAAAGCTCTATATCAACCCAATAAGTGAGATTAGTGGGTCATTTGCTAAACAACAGATTTTGTCCAAATCGACAAAATGCAGTGAAAATGGCCAATTCAACTGCATTGGCAATTCACAGATTTACTAGAGCCAAATACGGTCAGGATTCAGTCAATTTAACTGTTTTTGTAGCGTTCGTCTTAGATTTAACAACGACATGGTGCCTCAAAAATAAGCCGAATGCATTCAGCAGGATGCACGATCACGAATTATCATTCACTTGCTTCTTGCAAGTGAATTGAAAATGTTAAGAACTATTTACCACCGGCAGCCACCACATAAGTAAACCTTGCACCACGAAGGGCTTTTAACTATTGCCCACCAGCTGATCATTCTGCCAGGTGACAAATAGATTGCATTGTTTTTGTTTAATCAGGACCAGGAGTTGAAGCCTCCAAGGTTGCACACCCCTGGTGGTGTTTGGGACCTGAATTTTCAAATCTGGACATTGAATTTCATCAACACTGTTTGGATTTTGCAGACCAAATTGCCCCTTATGCAGCCAGGTGGTTTTGCCCCATTTGGTTTGGGGCCATTTGGACTTTAGTGAATAACCCAACAGGAAATCACTTATTAAAACTTTAAATACAGACTAAGTTGATACACGGTGGAGGGGGAGGGGATGGGATTGATAGATTTTTTCATCAAGTAACAAACCTCCTGTTACCCCCGCTCTATAAATTTTTCCCTAGATGCCTAACTTGTTTTAGTCAAAAGTTAATTATATAATATGTATGATTTACTTCCTGACATGTTACATGACTATATGAAATGCAGTAAGTAGGTAGCTACTGGACTAAATGTTAATCTAATCTTTTTCATTTTTCGGAATGATAATCTGTCTTTTTGCATTGCTAATTTTGAAAGATGGTTGTTATTCAAGATTTATTATATTGATTGAATGTGCTAATCTGCACAAATGTTTTATATAAACAACTATACATATAAATAAATTATTATTCTATATTTTTTATTTATTCTAGTATTGATGTAGGCTATTTATATATTTGTATTATTGACACTATTATATCACACACTTTATAGTCAATACTATAGGGGTGTTACCTATGTGCATATATTGTGACTTCATTAACTCTCTTATATATCTTTCAACTTTTTATATTTTCATCTGTCTAGTGGAATGCCCCCTTTATCTGGTGATAACCAATACGATTAAAGTGAAAACTTAGATGAAATTATATGCTATTTAATTCACTTTTCATTTCAATATTTTCAGATATATGTTTTAGATATATATTTTCATATATACTCTCTGATTTCCCTCTGTATGTCTTGCAGGGAGTTTACTTTTTTATTTTTATTTTTATTATTTATTTATTTTTTCTTACTTTTTTTATTTTTTACTTTTTAT